CTTGAGCACACTGACACTAACATTGCGCTGCTTTAAAACCCCATTTACAATGCAAACAAGTTAGGGCAGTTGTTTTGTTTACGCCTATAGGTGAAAGGAACAGTCAAACCAGACCATAATTAGGAAATGTAGCCTACAAATTAAAAGCAAACCAAAATGAATATTTAGAAATATGGGTTTTACATTTTATAGTTGCACATTATTATTATTATAGCAGTAGGCTATAAACAATCTGTAATTTATGATTGATTTTTATCTTGTTCTTCTTAGCCTATCTACAAAGAAAACGACCGATTTTTTTTTTAATTCGGAGTTGCCCACAACACTCATAAAAAAAATCAATTAAAATGTCCGAAAAAGCAGCTATTTCCAAAATATTGTCCAGTTAAGCAGTGTATGCTTTGACAGAGAATTCAAACTAATGTATTTAATCCACTTACCTTTATCTCGCCTATGCAGCAGTAAAAGTAAAACATTTAAAGTGTTATAACGTTAGAGAAAACGCATGTCTCTGTCCACGAGTTAGATCACTTCCTAACCTCGTTGTCTAATAGGCTGTTATCTTGTCTTTTGTCGTCGTTGTCAAAACGTTTTCTTTCCTTCCTTCGGTGAAGTGTGTTGTGCGTTTATCCAACTGATGGTCCAGCCCAAGCGCTGCTGTCATGAGGACTGATGGTCGTTAAATGTTAACCCGGTTATTGTGGCTATGAAACCATTTCCTTATCCGTTGGTATCACCATAGGAAATATGAATGGTGAGTCAATCAAAGAAGTTTCAAACGGTTTTTTATCTCTTGATATGTAGATTTCCTTTAATCATAATTACATCCACTGGCTTTCTGAATTTAGAAATGAATAGATTAACACATAAATATGATACGTTTTATTTGTTACATTATGTTACTGCAAATGTGTGTTGAAAGATAGAAGACAGACACACTTCAGTTTCAGTTTTGCTAAATTAACCACAATAAGAAAAAAAGAAAGACATCCCTTAAAAAAAACACCTTTTTCTGCATGTTTACTTCTGCTTTAGTTTAGCTTATATTTGAGTGTATAACATATGTAAGTGGTGTTTATTACACTTTATATGAGAATGAGAAGTCTGTTTCTAGTTTTTTTATTTTTAATTCATACCACAACAGTACAATAAGTGTATTTCTGGAAATAAAATATGTATTAATATAAAATATGTATGTTTTGATGTAATTAAAAAATGTATTTTCTTCAGAAGGCAAATAAAATGGTTTCTTAATTTTAAATGGACAGCAACATATTGAATCATTTACATTTAGTCATTTTGCAGACGATTTTGTCCAAACCGACTTACAAATGAGGATTAAAGCAAGCGAGTCTTTAGAAGAGGCAAAAACAACACAAGAAGTGCTCAAAATACAACGTTCAGGGGTTGCTCAGAGTAGCGCAAGCCAGACAAGGGATAATTAAAGGATAAGTACATTTTATTATTATTATTTATTTTTTAGGTTAAGTGCTCAAAGAAGAGATGAGTTTTCAGTTGTCTTTTGAATGTTGTCAGGGATTCTGCATTCCTGGTGAGGGTGGGGAGATCATTCCACCAGCATGGAACCATGAATACAAATGTTCTGGAGAGTGATTTTGTGGCTCTCTGTGATTGTACCACAAGCCGTCGCTCATTGAATGATCGTAGGCTTCTAGTAGGGATGTAGACTCGTAGGAACGAGTGGAAATTAGGAGGGAGCTGAGCCTGTGGTAGATCTGTAAGCAAGCGTTAATGCCTTGAACTTGATGCGAGGCGGGAGTGTTTGCCAGTGCAGAGAGATGAATAGAGGAGTGATGTGGGCCCCACATTCTGGATCATTTGTAGAGGTTTAGTTGCACATGATGGAAGTCCAGCAAGAAGAGCATTGCAGTAATCAACCTTAGAAATAACCAGGCCCTGGATGAGAAGTTGTGTTGCATGCTCAGTTAGGAAAGGCCTGATCTTTCTGATCATGTCTGGCAATTTGAAAAATGTTTTTGGAGTTGATAAAAGTTAAAAACATACATACAAGAAGTATATTCATGATTCTCAGATAGTTGGCATCATCCGGCCCTCTTCCTCTCCTTCCTCTCCCGTGTGGGATTCTTATTCGTGGGGAAGAAGGATGGATCGCTGCACCCCTATAAAGATTAAGGGGGGTTAAATTGCATCACGGAGAAGAATCGCTATCCTTTGCCATTGATGTCATCGGCCTTCGAAGTCTTGCAAGGGGCGACCATTTTTACTAAGTTGGACCTCCGCAACGCTTATCACCTAGTTCGTATTAGGGAAGGGGACGAATGGAAGAACGCCTTTAACAACCTGACGGGGCACTTTGAATATTTGGTCAAAGTCCCCGGCGGCGAGTCAATGACGTACTCAGAGACATGGTCGACTGGTTTGTATTTGTTTACCTTGATGACATCCTCTTCTACATCTTCTCCCAGAATGAGCGTGACCATGTCCAGCACATCAGGCGAGCGCTGCCTGGAGAGTCTCACACACGGTCAGTTCCGTTCCTGGGATTTGTTCTCTCACCCGAATGGATCCCGCCAAGGTAAAGGCAGTTGCAGATTGGCCCACCCTAAATAGTTGTAGATCAGTCAAGCAATTTTTGGGGTTGTCCAATTTTTATAGGCGATTCATTCAAGGTTTTAGTCAGACTGATCTGACTTCCCCTCGAAGAAGTTTCTGTTGGTCACAACCTTAAAGAGTCGTGTACAACCTTAAAGAGTCGCTTTGTTTTGAGCTCCTATCCTTGCTACTCCCGATCCGTCTCATCAGTTCGTTGTGGAGGTGGATGTGTTGGAGGTGGGAGCAGGGGCAATTTTGTCTCAGAGGTTATCTTCGGATGACAGAACACATCCTTGTGCATTTTTTGTGCACGTTTAACCCCTTCCGAACGAAATTACGACATTGGGAATAGGGAGTTACTGGCTGTTGGCGCTGGAGGAGTGGCGTCACTAGTTAGAGGGTGCGGAGGTCCCTTTTATTGTTTGGACCGATCATAAGAACTTAGAGTACATCTGCACTGCTGAACGGCTAAATTCTCAACAGGCTCGCAGGGCAGGTTTTTTTTTCGGTCGTTTTAACTTTAACATTTCCAAACGCCCAGGAGCCAAGAATGGTGAGCCCCACGCACTTTCGCAGATCTTTGAGGTCTTTGATTTATTTTAGGGGATTTATATTTTAGGGGATTTATCTTTGATTTATTATGGAGTCCACACTGTGCTGCGCAACATCACGGTTCCTGCAGGGTGCCCTGAGAGCCTGTTTTTTGTGCCAGAATCGGTCTGAACTAAAGGACTTCAGAAGGGTCACTCATCCAAACTAGCTTGCCACCCAGGAGCCACCACTTTTGGTGGCCGTTCATGGCGCGGGACGCTCGTCAGTTCATGTCGGCCTGTCCAGCTTGTGCTGGGGGCAAGGGCTCCAATCGACCCCCGGCAGGGCTACTCCAGCCACTGTCTTTCCCTTCGAGACCCTGGTCACATATAGCTTTAGACTTCGTTACCTGCCTACCTCCTGCAATTGGCAACACGGTAGTCCTCATTGTGGTCTACAGGTTATCGAAGGGAGCTCATTTTGTTCCCCTCCCCAAATTGCCTTCAGTGAGGGAGACAGCGACTGGAGTCTTAGACCAGGTTCCGCATTCTTTGCCTCCCGGTGAACATGGTCTCTGACAGGAGTCCCCAATTTGTGTCTAAGTTTTTGACAGAGTTCTGTCGACAGCTGGGGGCGACTGCAAATTTTTCCTTTAGATATCACCTGCAGACTAACGGTCAGGCCGAACGTATCAACCAGGATCTGGACAGGGTCTTTCGCTGTGTGGCGTCTGCGGAATCGTCTTCTTGGAGTTCCAGATTAACAATGATCAAGTATGCACATAACTCCCTCCTTGTCTCGTCTACGGGTTTGTCTCCCTTCCAGTGCCATTTAGGCTACCAGCCCCCATTATTCCCCTCTCAAGAATCCGACAACATTGTTCCGTCTGCGCATGCGTTCATTCAGGGATGCCTCCGTACAGGAGGATTGCCAGAGAAGCCCTCACTCTTGACTGGGGGGTGGTGATGGTGCAGTGGATAAGACGCATGCCTTTGGTGTGAGAGACCCAGGTTCGAATTCACTGTGAGACACCAATGTGTTCCTGAGAAAGACACTTAACCCCTAGTTGCGCCAGAGGCATGCGACCTCTGACATATAAAGCAATTGTAAGGTGCTTTGGATAAAAGCGTCAGCTAAACGAATAAATGTAATTATAGATGTAAATGGCTGGCGTCAGGAATAAGGCGTCGGTGGATCGTCACTGTACTAAGCGCCCAATTTACGTGTGTGGTCAGAAGTCTCTTCCACAGTTTGGTAACTGTAGTGGATTTTTTTTTGTTGTTGCCTAGGATTTTCCAGAGGTTTTCAGTCAGGTTTAGATCAGGACTCTAGGCTGAGTATTTCTTAGCTTCAAGGAAATACTTTACCCGTTTTGCAGTATGACAAGGGGTCATGGTCCTATCTTTAAACTGAGGGTTGATTGGGAGATTTTTGCTGGGAATGAACCGCATATTGCTGAAGGAGGTTCTGATAAAAAGTTCCATTCACCCTGCCATGTTGCTATATAAAAGACCCAACTCCTGCTGACTTCCAACGCACTTTGAGTTCAGTCTTCCTCAAAGGTCTCTAGTGTTCCATGCTCCACACTATCACTTGTTAGTAAGGTCTCTAGTGTTTCGCCAAATAACTTTTTCCACTAACTAGCTTACTTCCCGCACAGGAATAATTGACAAACAGATTTCAGCAAATGTCCTATAAGTTTAGATGTTAGTCTAACATGGTTAGTTTAATATATAGTTTAAAATTTCCACCACCATCAACCATCTGAATTGACTGATGGACATGACATGTCCTGCTTCTGTTAGGACGTTACTAACACGTCCTTGATCCCCCACTTTAATGGTTTGTGTTATATTTTAACCTGTGGGCCCACTTAATAAATTTTTATACAGCTGTTTTGATTGACATCATTTAATAGATCATATTTCACACACCCCCTTTACACCTTCACACACCCCTCTCTGCCTGGAGAGTCATACCTTTTTGTCTGCCATAGCAGTTTATGAACTGAATGGGGAACATTTTTAGGAGTGGAATACCACCCAATCCGAACGATAACAACTTTTACGACAGAAGCTACTGACCGCAGACACACTGTGGCATTCCCCTTGCCTAAACATTAAGGATATACATTTTCAATTGTCCAATGCAGTCGCCATGTGTTTAACATGTGTTTCAAAATCAAATAGATTAAACACTTTAAAATAATAACCGTATAGACCTACAGTTGCAGTTGACCGAGTCTGTTTGAATTTTTTATATGCAATTCATCATTCATTTCAATTTTTCAAACATTCTGTTGTTGCTCATATGCTATTTTAAAGAAGACTTGGAAATCTTCACACAATCTTGGATCCTTAGATAAAAATAAAACATTTCCATCTCAAATTCTGCATAGTTAATAATCTATTCATGTTTTTACATAACCCTCACCGCCAAATCCAGCCCCAGTTGTGTCTTCTGCCATTGAACTAAAGGCTGGAAATAAGACTGGACTGGACTGGTACCTATTGAAACCAGATTCAAAGAGATAGTTAAAGAGATATGAAGGATTGCTGAAACCAGTGGATAATCAAAAACAATAACCAAGTTATTAATAACTATATTTGAAATGGTCTCGGTGGTGATCATTGAATAAAAAAATGTAAGTATTTTGAAAGCATAGGGAGACCGTTTCGATTACATCATTCGCAGTACGCCAGTGGGTTTTTATTGTTTAAAATCAATATCCCTGTGGAGAAAACCCCAAATCCCTATGGAGAATGGAGTTAGTGCTTCCGGAAGCCGACTGTTATAGGGAGGAATCTGGAAGTATTCTCCAATTTTGATCATAGTTCTTTTTTTATATATATATTCTGTGCTTCAGATTGTAACGTATGCTTAAAAACTGCCCTTCTACTGTTACTCTTAGTAAAACTTCAAATAAGACCAAGCAAATTTAGGAAATTGTAGATTATACATTAGGGGTGGAACAGTATATCGCATCACAATATATCGCAATACAAAAATGCAACAATATATAGGCTATATGGATAGTGACAATATATATTTGGTACAGTTCACCCAATATAAAAAATAAGAATTTTACTTTTAAGAGTTTTAGTGTCATGACTAAATTAAACTGCTATATATAATGTTGAATAATACAATAATGTATAATAATGTAATGGGGGAATATTTGTGGCTGATAATCCTGAAAATGTCAATGTTTAGTGTTACCAGTAAAAAGTGGCCAACATTATTTTAAATCTATCTAGTCAGTGAGAGCATAATAATTCTGTATTTTCAGCTTCAGAATCATATTTTTATTCTGTCACTATTGTCCTGTGCATTGGGTAACCAGCACAAAGTCCAAGCCTATTCATTTACACCCACAATGTAAAACCAAATTTAGCATTTTAATCAAAAGTACATTTTTTGTTAACCTTTTATCGTGTTTCTTGGAGCATCGGAATAATATCATATCATGGGAAATTATTTATTGTATTATGTATGTATTATGAAATTATGTTTCTCTCTAATGGCTCTCTCATTGCTCCCAAAACCATTATTACAATTATGGGCCACAGTAGAGCTTCTGTTGGCTCGGACCAGGCGGGATATTGAATAACACAATTTATTCAATTGAATAAATTGAATAACACAAATTTATAATGTTTGATTAGTCTGTGAATAACACACAAAATATTACATATATTGATCAATGAAGTTCCTCATACCTCCAAAGAGACACGTGTGTTTTAGTTTACCACATGTGCGCTGGATGTGCATGTGTGTAAGCCAATGTTATGTAGTGCTAAAATGATATTGTCTGTAGATTCCAACAGCATACTACTATTTTATTGCAAGTTTTTTTTGTTTAGAGAGACCATAAGATGATTCATTGTCCATTGGAAATACTTCAATGGTTTTCATAATCGATCAAAATGAAGAGTCTGTAACACACTCTTGAGTATCGCTACAAAACCTCTAATGGTGTGTTGGTTTCCGGGCTGCTGTTTGACAGATACCACTAAGCTTCCTTCGCTGCCAGGCACCTCTGGGACTTCCTGCAACAGTTCAGCGAGGATCAGGGTCCCACTGCCCCTGGTGTAAAGGTAGGCCTTCCAGGGCACAGTGTCGCCCGGCGTGAAGGCCAGAGTCTGGATCTTCACCAGCTGTAAGGCCGCCTGTAAAGTATCCGCAGCGGTTTTGGGTCGAGGGAAACCCAGAGTTTGCCTGTGGAGAATCTCCAAGTCCAACCACATTTTCTCAAAGGTTTCATGGGAGAGAGGAGGACCCAGAGATAGACTGATCTCCTCTTCGAGGGTTTCCTCTTTACTCCCTGTTAGTCAGAGAAAGGTTAAATGAGGGCGAGACAGTTATGATGTTGTATTATTATTCAATTTATTATAAAACTATAACTATATTTAATTCAATCACAATTAATTCAAATGATGTAAAAAGAAATAAATTAAATTAAAGAGGCCATTTTATGCCCAACAAAGTCTTGATTGGGTTTTGGCTCTAGTAGAATAGGTTTCCATACTTGAATGTAAAAAAATAAATAAATAAAAATCCCCATATTTGTCATTGTTGCAGCTCCTTTTCCCAGCCTGTCAGAAACGCTTAAAGCAGAAGAAAACTCAAGACTATAAGATGGAGTTTCAGGGAGTTCAGAAAGAGGGTTACTGATATAGAGAATAACTCTCGCTGCAGGGATGCTCAAACAGCAACATGACACCATAAAGAAAGTTGTAAGAAAGAAGAAAAAAAAAGTGTATTTGGTAAGATTTCTACATGCTTTTCTGCAATAAAAAAGAACCATAAGAGGTCCTCTTAAAAAAAAAAAATAAGAGGTAATTATTAATTGATAAAAGACAATACAAAAATCACACAAAATGATGTCTGCTTACCTGGCAACAGCTCCTCTTCTGCTCTGCTGGACGGCTTCTCAGAGGCTGATGTGATGACAGTTTGAAGGCATAAATCCCGTCCAGACAGCGGACCCAGTGTGTTGAAGGTCGAGGCCCACAGACTAATGGGCTCCTCTTGCCGACCGGTGAGAACGCTCATGGACGGATCAGATTTGGGTCCAGTTACAGCTTTCCTAGTCTCTTCAACTCCACGCTGAAGAAGTCTGTAGTACAGCAAAGCCCGGTCACGCACACACATGTTGCTCTCTTCCTCTGGGGAGGGACAAAACAAATCGCAAATGAATCTAAAAAGCAAGAAGCTAAATGTGTCAAAAGTATTAAAAAATAAAGTGAGAGTTTCTTGGGATTAATCATTCAGACTGAAAACATAAACTAGAACGAGAACAGTATTCATGGTTTTCTTTTTCATTCTGAAAACAAGTTTCCACAAAAACATGAAGCAGCAGAAGCTGTTTTCAACATTGATGATAATCAGAAATGTTTCTTGAGCATCAAATTCAAATGATTTCTGAAGGATCATGTGACACTGAAGACACAAGTAGAGATGCTGAAAATTCAGCTTTGATCACAGGAATAAATTATGTTTTAAAATACATATACAGTTACTTTACATTATAAAAAAAGATTTCACTATATTTTTACTATATTTTGATTAAATAAATGCAGCTTTGATGAACATTCTTTAAAAAACAACAAAATAATCTTACTGACCCCAAACCTTTGAACAGTAGTACACACACATTCATATATATATATATATATATATATATATATATATATATATATATATATATATATATATATATATAGAGAGAGAGAGAGAGAGAGAGAGAGAGAGAGATAGATAGAGAGATAGAGTGATAGAGTCCAAAGAGGGCCAAGTCAGACTTGAGTCCGAGTCCTTAACATCCGAGTCGAGTCCGGCCGAGTCCACAAAGATTTAAATGATTTGAAATTCCTAATATCTTTTTTAGCCTCTGAAGGGCAGGACTAAATTAATTTATTTTTTAACCATTTACACCAATTTACATCCAGTTCCATCCTTAACGGATGCTTCCTTCTTGAACATCTTTAAATATTTGCAGGGTTTGTAATGATTGTGTATGAGTCCCTCACTTGTCACCAGTGCAAAAAGATGGTTCTCACTGTCACTGCTAGTAAAGAGTCAAATATGCAGAAGATGCTGGAAAAGCAAAACAATGTGCAGGAGCTTCCTCATGAACAACCATTACAAAAAAAAAAACAGTTGTGGATCATTCAGGTAATGACACACAATATTAAAATCAAGTAATTTGTCTTGTATTTTGTCTTGTGAACAAGGCCATTATACATCTGTAATGTGATAAAGCTTTTTCAATGCAGTACTGAATAGAAACAATGTTTTTTATAATACTTCCTATTCATAAAAAAAGAAAAAAAAAACATTTTGGAGATTCTTAAAGGTTTATGTAAACGTATGACTAAAGTGTAAATGTAACAAAAATCATACAATTATTAGTCGCCAAAATGTTGCGATGTTTATCCAGTTCTCATGTTGTTGGGTTGCTGTCAATCATCGCAAATTCATGACTCACAGGACTAAAATTTAGCGGATTCACTCCCACATTTAAATGCATTTATCACTCTTTATAATTTACACAGTGAACATAACCACTCTGATTTGTACACAAGTAGTTTCGCTTCGTTTTTGAATAATATGTCCTCCAGTGCCCGGACTTGACTGGACTCGGACATTTTTCCGAGTCTAAAATGTCAGAGTCCGTGTCAAGTCCGAGTAAAAATTCATATGAGTGAGTCCGAGTTCATTCAAAATTGGACTCGAGTCCGAGTTTGAGTACCCCAACTCTATCAGCTTGAGGAACACAGGTAGTTTTGTCCAGTGGTGCTTCTATTTGACTAAATTATCTGTAAACGTTTTTTACACACCAATACAGTAATGTAAAAGACGGCCCAGCATGTCTTGCGTCTCAGCAGGACGGCACAGGAACATCTTCACGGAGGCGCTGAGCAGCTCCATCTTCACCGCCAAGGACAGCTCTGTCTTCAGCCCATCTATGTATCCCTCCATAACATAGGGGGCGCTACTGACCTGCTCACCATGCTCTCCCAGAAGCCATAGCAGAGCCTGTTTTCCCTGTGAGAAACGACAGAAGGATTTGATCTTCTCTGATAGGTCAGACATATGCACAGACCGGGCTTAGGTTAAGCCAGGATTAGGTCTTAGTTCAATTAGGACATTTCAGTAGCTTTTAAAAATGTGCCTTTAAAAAAAACATTACTGATGTGCATCTTGAGACAAAATAATGACATTTTTTTAAGATATGCTTTCATATCAACTCAAACATGCATTTTATTTTGGGACTCGCTTAAGCCTTGTCTGTGAAACAGGAGCAAAGTCGCCATAAAATCAAATGGACTTCATTTGTATGGGATACTGCAGTATGCACGGATGACGTGTTTACTGGCGTGGGGGCAGGACAATAACCTGTCACTCACATGAGTTCCACCAATAGAGTTGTGCAGGGATGACATACATTTGTAGACCAATTCAGAAACTAGCATCGCAAATAGCACACACACAATTTGCCTTTGGCTAAGCCACGCCCTAGAATGTAGATTGACCAATCACAGTGCAGCCAAGAACGAGCTCCCACAGAGGTCCGACACTTTTTCACAGCGCTCCATTGACTTTCAACACAGGCGTCTCATATTTTTGGTCTCGGCAGGCTATTACCGTCGTAGTTTTATCAAAAATATGGTTAAACGTTGTGCCTGGGGCATTTGTAACACAGATACGCGTTTCTCAGAGAGGTTGGAGGGGGTGTCCGTTTTTTCCCTTGCCAAAACCGAAGTCAAATCCTGAGGAGTGTCGTCTTTGGATTAAACTGTGTGGACGTCCTCAGTCAGCTAAACCCTGCAAAGATCAACAAGCACATCTTTTTTACTTCTAACCTTACTGTGAAGTTATACTAGTTAGACCGTTTTATAATGTTTTAGGTTATGATTTCGGTTCTCATACCGGTTGTTGATACGCTAGCACACGCTGCTAATAAATACAACGTTATACACGTGTAGTCCGTTTGCTTTGTAATAACGATTATAGAAGTGAATAGAGACCTACCCAGCTTTGCATGAACAGTGTTGCTCCCTGATATTGTTAGTCCCAGCCTCCGTCTCGATAACTAGGATATGCGGTGGTTCATTTTTTGACAGTGACCGGTAACATTATCCTTTTGCCTCTATTTAGATGCCTTGTTGTTTCTTGCGTTTCACCTGTATGTCTTGAATATAGCCTTCGAATGCATATTGCAGCCCCTTTTGCCAACTTCTATTGGTCTATAAAAAGTTTGATAACATTTCAGCAGGAAGAGCTGTCTCAGCATAAGCCATGTTGATACCAAACCAGAGCCCAGATGAAGTTTGACGGAGGTAGCAACAGTAACTAAGGGGGACGGGGCTTAGCCAAAGGTGAATTACCACGCAAATAAATAATCTGTAATTTATAAAATAAATAAATAATAATAAACGTTTTTATTGTTTCCATTTTGTTATGGATGAGTTGGATGGGACTGTGAAGGAAAAGCAGAATAAGGCTTGTTGTGTCTGATCAAAATAGAAAGCAGCTGAATGATCTCACCTCACTATCTTGAGGATTGTCAACACAGGCCTCAACGGTCTGACAAACAGCAGCCGTACTCTGAGGACAGAACCACACCAAATCCCTGAACGTCTGGATCACGGCTAAACAGAGACGAAAAGCAACAGATTAGAGGTACGATAGGAGAACTGATAATGTTTGTTAGCAAACAAAGCTTTTATCCAGGCTGGAGAAAGCACCAGCTAAAAGGTTTGTGGACAGCAAACAGTGTTAATCACACAGTACTTCCCTTTTTTTTTTTTTTTTTTCTTAGGTAAACCATCTCTTTTACTCATTAACTACAAAGATATAAACCCCAGAAGCAAGCACAGGTGTGACTCAGATTTCTCTCATACCTGAAGTGATGTGATCTTGTTTCAATGCGAGCAATCCGGTCAGTATATCCAGACACTTCTCACTGTATGTACGTGCAATACGACCTTGAAAAGAGAAACATTGTACATAATATAATACATTTTGAAGTAATAGTAATTTTAGCACAAAGTTGCAATGATAAATTATTTTACTATGACTTATGGGACAAGAGATTGGTGTGACATGTATGCCCTGTTTTGGTGTTCCCATTTTCCTTAGTTCCCTAGTTAGTCTCCTAGGTTGTTAATTGTTCTTCCTTATTACTCCACATGGACATTAGGGCCTTAATAGCCCTTGTTTTCATATGACATCACACCACTGCGTTGTCATGGCACGAAATGCAAATGGAGGGCAGGAAGTGATTTGCTGTATTTAGAAAGCACTATAACAGACTCAAAATGCCTATCTTTTGCATTGTTTATGGTTACTTAAATCGCTCAAGCCACGAGGATTTTTATCGTGTACCAAAAGTTGTTGTTCATAAGGGGGGATAATGCAAGAAATTGTCAGAAAAACTCTGGAAAAACAGCTTGCAAACCTACGTCTGCAGTTGGGGGGAGCCGAATGGGAAAATGCCTGTGTGTAGTGATTACTTCGTCAAAGGTGAGTGGCTATGTTTGTGTAACGTACCAGTTTCCGAATTTTGTAAAGTCAAAGTATGTCTGTAAGACGAGGTAGTTGCTGATATCTACAGCCTCGACGGCAGGAAAATCTGAATTCAGTTGAAAAATCGGTCCTCTTCATAACATAAGGATTTTTTGTTTATATCTTTCTCTTGTAATAGAGTTAAAGTAGTATAGTACGGACTTTCCACCATCTCGTCCATTGCTCTTCACTCTCTGCCCTCCAACTGAATTTCGCGTGTCATCATAATCACGTGACTGAAACTCAGCTATGGTCATATTTAACTTCTCACAAATGAAGACAAATCCATTAAGTAAATTCAGGAGAGTCTATATTTCCATTGCACATCAGCACGGAGAGGTCTTTATTTTACATAAGAATATTCAAAAAGTGGGAATAAAGTGTTTGAGGGTAGGGTTAAGAGTAGGGGAGGGCTTTGGGGAAAAGGACAAGTAAGTCCCAAAGCAGCATCCATTTATGGTTTTAATAAATATAACCATTAGGGGTGTAACGGTTCTCAGGAAAATAAAATGAACCGTACCCTTCTTCACCCATCGTTTGGCACGCACTTGCTCCAAGTCTATAAAATGGTTTGTTGAAAATAACAACACATAAAACAGACAGAGTTCGGATGTATGTTTCTGTCATGCACATTGTGTTTGTGAGCTGTAGCACTGTTTAAAGCAGAGAAAAAAATGCACAGTGCAATCACACTTGTGTGTGTAATGCTGGCTACTGAGATGAGTCCTAAATAAAAGAGACCATTAAAGCGCAGATGATGAATTTATTAATTCCTGAGAGACCAGGATCAAAGGGTTATAAGAAACTGGTGAGTTTGCTGAGATCGTTTTAATCCGAAGCCCAGCGAAATTGTTCAATGGTGGAAGTTTAATTCATGTAACAGATGCCCTGATAAAAGTATAGTAGAATATATGGCCAAACTGAGAAAGCTTACACAAGATTGTAATTTTGGGGATACGCTCACAGTTATGCTGAGAGACAGATTAGCGTGTGGTGTTAATGATGACAGCATACAGCGGAGATGACTACCTGAAGATGGACTATCATTTGAGACGGCGCTAAAGAAAAGCTAAAGCTATTTAAGCTGCTAACACGGATATGGCAGATTTGCACAAAGATAAAAGAAATCGACTGGGTACCACTGTCTTCAAGATGGACACAGGAGAAAAAGTAAGTCGAGTGTTACAGGAAAGCGCTATCGATGAGGTGGAAGTAACCAATGGCTGAAACACTAAGTTTGCCATGGAAAAATGTAATAATTGTGGTGTGAAAGATTATGTAGAATGAAACCACAAGAAACTAGTGTTGATAAAGGCTGGAAAGCTTGGAAATGGGGGAGAGGAAAACAATCAAAGAGGGCAAACTACTTTCAAGAGGATGAGGAAAGATCAGCCCGAAGAAGTGTTTACCATGTATAGTACAGAGACACCAAAGCCACATACTGCGGTTGAAAAGGGGAAAGTGTAAACTCTCGGAAAAGGAAATAATTCCCCTGGTTGGAAAGAGGAACAACCAAGCAAGAGTTCCTGGAGTCTAACTGTGTGAATACACAATAATGGGAAAAAAATCCATAAATATCTTTATGGCCGTAAATTTGTGATCTGTACAGACGATAAACCTTTCCACAGAACTGAAAGCTGAGCCACAGAGGGCCTCTCACAGAATGATGAGATGCACAGTGATGTTGAGGGCATGTGAGTATGTATGTAAATCAAGCACTGGACCACCCAAGATCTTGTCCTCTCTAGACTGATTATGTGATTATGTGGAACAGCTACAGTTGTCTCACCCAGTTACAGTTGTTACCTGTGGTGGCACAATTTAGATGCTGACATTGAGGTCAGAGTAAAAGATTGTGCTGTATGTCAAGAACAGAGAAAAGCCCCTCCAACAGCCTTGAAGAAGAGTTCATTTTGGCTCCTGTCCCAAATGACACCTAAACAATAACGGTCTTCCTATGAATACACACTTTCGTGGCGTAACGCCACTTCGACTGTTAAAAAAGAAGTCTGCTGTGGGGGTCGCCTCAAAGGAGGCACTCGCGAGCACCCTTCTGAAACCTAAAATGACAAATGGGACCCATTTTCCACCGGAGCATTTTGAGAGCCAGTTTGGAGCCAGTGCCTACTTGTGAACCAGTTCTTTGTGTTTCGACAGCCAAAGAACCGGTTCTCAGCCAGGAAAATTGGCTCCAAAGCGGCACCAACTCTTTGCTGAACCGTTCTTTTACCACGTCATGCTCACGTAGGCCTAAGACGTATGGCAACGTACACAGTGACGTAACGACGTCGTTTGCTGAGCTCTCTAGTCAGTGAACAAACAAACAGGTTCTGAGAAGGTTAGCAAGTTGAACAAACTTTGAACCAGCACCAATTCCGAGACCGAAACAGGTCTTTTTTGGTGGAAATTAGGTATTGGACTTGGCCATGGATCTCATGGACTTAACAGACACATGCATTGGGCAGCCATTGTAAGTCCACAAGACCAAAATGCATATGAAGTGTGCCATTTGGGACAGGGCCATTGACTATGCTGGTCCATTTCTGGGGAAAATGTTTTTAATCTTAGTTAATGCCGATTCGGAGTGGATTGATGCATATCCAAGAAATGCAGCAACAACATCTACTACACTTGAGTGCCTCAAAAATAGCTTCAGGACAAATGGCATTCCTGAAATTAGGGCGTCTGATAACTCTTAGTGTTTTGGCATTAAAGCGAGCAAAGAATTCATGACTAGGATTAATGTCTACTGAGCGGGCAGTACAAACTTTAAAGGAATTAATGAAACAAGTTCTGGGAAACACTATTGAGACCAAGTTGCATAGAGCATTTAGTTATCGTATTACACCACAGTAAACAACGGGACAAACAAAATACACCCTAACTTCCCCAGCAAAATTTAAGCCAAACAACAAGTTCAAAAAGAGCACCATGACCAACATGTTAAAGTAGGAGAAACTGTGTATACATACATATTTGGGTGTGGACCAAAATGGGTGAAGGGAGCAATTCAGGACAACACAGGACAGAGGTTTTAATGTTGTTTTAAGGTGGGGTAGAATTAAATGAATGGCAAAACTCAGCATTTTGTTTGCGTAGCCCCTCTGTCACCTCACATACCCCAGTTTGAGAACCACAGATCTAAATCAACAGGAAGCAGCAGTGAGAAGTAAGATACACACGTGGCAATATTTGTTGCCTATTAGTCAGGGAGCCAAAGTCTCAAAAGTGGGTTGAACCTGACATGGTCTGCCATACTTTTTATTTGTGTTTTTTCTGTTAACTTTGACCCTAAGAACAAATAATTGGAGGGTCTGCTCTGCCGGAAATATCGCGAAAAAAATTTGTGGGCATTTTAGTGTACGCACCCTTTATTTTTTATCAGAAAAATGTGAAAAATATTTTTTTTCATCAAATTCTTAGTGGGTTGGGTAGGTTCTCAATAAATGCATTCCAGATACACAGAACACATGTGCAGACAACATCCACTGAAAAAATAATTCTTAAAACACATTTCTACATGATTTCGCATCAATTTAATGCAAAAAAACAGGCGTTTTTTCACTTATTTTCCACTATTTTCATCTTTACTTCATTGGCAATCAACTATTCCCTTAAGTTATGACATCAGGCAATATGCCATTCTTTTCACCAAACACCATACTCATTACACAGAAAAAATTATAAAAATCCAAACAAAATCAATGGATCTGCGATGATTTCACTACTAGTTGGCGATCAACAGGCTCAGAATTTCAATAGAATTTTAGACTACTCTCAAAATTCTTAAAAACATGCTGGATATTTAGCATCATGGCTCACTTACAAACACACACACACACGCACACACATGATCTTAGTAATTTTTATGAGTTTGGAACAACCAACCAATGGTTACCAACGGTTACCAACAGACTTCGAAGCTGCTCATCATTGTCTGTGGTAAGTGATAGTGACTAATATACCGGTAGGTCTGCCCCAGAGTTTTGGGAAAAGAATGGTAATATGGATATTGTAATTGTAATTAACTGAAAGGACCACACCAGTCTTCAAACAATAATATTTCTGATGATTCCTCATCCCAAACATATCCCTGTAGTAGCAGCATTCATTCTCTACTAGTTTACTTAGCTAGCTTTAGCCGTTTTAGCTAATGTCGGTGGTTTCTTTAAACGGCATTACTCCTCACAGGTATGGGGTAGAGAGTAGAGACTTACTTTTTTTAAATGCTTAGGATATTATTCTCTAATAGAGGTATGTGTCCTATATGTTCAATCGGAAGTTGAGAAATTGCCAAAATTTCAACTGGACTTGTTAGGTAAAGAAATAGATATGAGAATAAATGCTGCTACAGGGGTACGTTTGGAGCGAGGAATCATTGGAAATAAACTTGTATGAAGCCTGGTGTGGTCCTTGAAGT